CCCCCCCCGTACGATGATAAACTTTCTTTCTTGTGAAATCTCATCCTGATAACAGCAAGGCCTTCTTCATTAGAGAAGCTCTGCTTTTGGCCCTACTTCACCACTGCCTGAGCACTTTCTTTTCCTGTATTACCCTATCACCTCCCTCTTCTTCAAGAGCCCCAATATTCTTTTCAGTCTAATCTGGTTGAATTGTGGTGAACTGGGGAAAAACGAGTTTTAGCTACTGTTTGTAATGATACATCTGCGTATTTTGGCAGCCTCATAATCTGCCGCTGGACATGCCACCTGAGAGGCAGATTAAAAATCTGTTAAATAAACCAATACATTTCCAAGACATGGTCAGCGTGCAGACTGTAGTTGCAGCAGACAATATTTTAAAATCATCTCCTTCCTTGGAGATCATAAAATGCAGCTTTTTGCTAAATTTAAAGCCCTAATATCCCATTTAGGCCTCTGTGGGCCACTGTGATGTAGTGATTGTGATGGACTAGCACCAGAGAGACGCAGGTTCAAGTCCCCCCTCAACCTTGGAAGCTCACTGGGTGACTTTGGGGCAATCACTCTCCCTCATCCCAACCTACTTCACAGGGTTGTTGTTGATGGAGAAAATGGGAGGAGGGAATATCATGTACACTCCCTTAAGCTTCTGAACAAAAGGCAGGATAGAAATCTAACAAATAAATAATTAGCTCTCCTAGCATCACAGGAACCAGGGATGTTTGTTCTCACAAAATAGAGAAGAAACCAGATGAGATTTCGTGTCCCCAACAGCAGCAGACACAATGGGGGTAACCTCACAGAGCGCGTGATGCAATTACCCCAAACTTTTATATCTGCCCGTTAAAATTCATCTTGTTGGATTTTGTCAATACTCCTGCTTGTCAAGATCCTCCTAAATCTTGATATGGTCCTCTAAGATGTTTGCTATCCCCCTACCAACTTTGTGTCATCTGAAAATTTGGTATTTTCTAACCCTTCATCCAAGTCACTGACAAATAACAGCACCGGACCTAGGACAGAGTCCTGCAGCACACCACTCAATGCTTCCTTTGAGCTTGACACAGAGCCACCTATACTTACTGGATATAATTGCTCAACCAACTTTATATCCATCTCTTGACTGCGGACTCCAGGCAACGTTTTGCCATCCTCTTTACAAGAACCTCACAGCAAGCTTTAACAAAAGTTTTCCTGAAGTCAAGGTACACCATTGTGACCATTCCTGTGGTCAGTTAAACTAGTAATTCTATCAAAGCATGCTACCAGATGGATTGGGTATGACTTATCCTTGATAAACACATGCTGGCTCCCTGCATTGTTTTCTAGATGCTCACAATCTAACAGCTTAATAATCTGTT